AACGTATACAAAGTGTTGATCTTTTAAAAATGTTTCATGTTCGTAAAATGTTTTGAAAGTGTTTTTGAAAGTGTTTGGTGTTTGTTTTGAAAATAGCAAGGAGTGTTTGATTTGAAATTGAGCAAGCAACTAGAAACAATCTACCTACTCAAAAGTCTTTGTTCATTTCTTCCTTTCCTTTGATATTTCTATCTTAGCATTGATTTGGTAAGAAGCCTTATCTTTGGATGTAAGGGGACGGGCGTGGGTCATCGTATAGCCATGATAGCAATATTGTAAGATATCTTAGCATTTCTCTTTGAGGGACTAAGATCATTTTGAAAGGCAACATTGATAGCGTCATCGAGGGACTATGATCTTGTATTTTTATTTGTTTTTGCTAAGATACCCCACATGCATAACATGGCCATTTTTGTAAGGCAACAAAGTGGAATTACCGTAAGGGTGCAAGTGTGCAAGTGTGTTTGATTTACATGCATTGTTTTGTCTTGAATTTAGGGTTTGCTAACTTGTTGATTTTATCTTTCCATACAAACCCTAATTTACTAGCATTTATATAAAGCGGTAAATTGCGGAAAGTAAAATTACTAAGCTATTACATCATTAGGGGAGGGGGTATACAAATTTACAAATGGGGTTTTGCAAGAAAATTAAACCTAATTATCTATTACAATCATATTGAATATTGTACAAAATTGAAAAGAAAATAATGCAAGAATATAAATGGAAAAATAAATGATTTTTGTTTGGTTTTCATGAAAGGGTTCTAACCTAATTAAAGAAAATGATTAATTAAAATAAACAAAATTTAAACCTAAATTAATTAAGAAAGAAAATAAATTAAAAAGGTATTTTTCGGGTTTTTTTGTGAAAAGGTTTTAACTTAATAAAAATAATATAAAAATTAATTAATTAAAAGAAACCTAAGTTCTAAGTTAATTTTAATTAAGAAAATAAAATAATATAATAATTAAACCTAAGTCTAAATATTTATTATTTAAAAAAAGAAATTAATTTGTTTAAGAAAATGTTTTTTTATCCTTTTTATTTTATAGAGAAAATAAAAATAAAAATAATATATATATATATATATATATATATATATATATATATATATATATATATATATATATATATATATATATATATATATATATATATATATATATATATATATATATATATATATATATATATATATATATATATATATATATATATATATATATATATATATATATATAAAAGTGTAAATAATAAATAAAATATTTTTGGATTTTTTTATTAATAAAAAAATAATAATAATAATAGTAAAAATAATAATAAAGAAAAATAAAATATAATAAGAAAAATGAAAAATAAATACAAAAATGAAATAATAAAAGTTGGGTCAGGCTACATAAGTTAACAGGGGGTTAGAAGCTAGCAAAAACAATAAAGCCCAAAAGGGGGAGGCCCAGGGCGCTACTGTGTGAACAAAAAAGAAGAGAAAAATGTAAAAAAGAGCAAAAGGGTACCACTAGGGCTCGAACCCAGGTCCCAAAGGTTAACAGGCGCGCGCTTTACCTTTGGGGTGGCTATACATCCTTTAACATTGACAAAACAATAAATATGTAACATAAATTATGCCCTGAATACAACTTCTTCTTCAACCTCCAGCCATGGATCCTGTAACTTCACCATTTCTCAACAAAAATGAAAAGTGCAAACATGAAAGTTTCTCCATTTTTCCATACAAGTCCAACCATATAAATATTATAAGCTATAAATCAAAGATGAATGAGAATTTTTGAAAGTACCAAATTCTGACCTAAATATTTCAGAAAGTTCAATCCTAAAATTCTCCTAGCTCAATCAATATAAATGAAATCTATGGACATGTATAGCTTCAGGGCGATGATGTCTACATTTTATCTTCATAAATGCAAGCCTAACTATTGTACCCCCAAATTTTCCCTCTCATTTTTTATTCAAGATACTATCTTAGGTCTTCTTGAATACTCAATTTGGCTCAGAAGTTTGATCAGACAGATTCTCTTCCTAGGCAGTAAGTCAACAATTAGGGTTTAACGTTTCTCAAAGAAATTTAATTCTTCAAGGTATCAAATGGTTTTAATAGATCTTCATGTATCCTCAAGGATGTTCATGTCGAGTTTCGAACCTCGCGTCACAAGTTTGCTCAGTCAACGGTTCAGACGACTGAAAATGACTCCATTAACCCAAAAGCTGACCTTTTGCGAGACCAAGTCCAAGCGACTATAACTTCTTCATTATTCAATATTTTTGAGCGGTTCTTCTTGCGTATGACTCTCCTCGATGTTATCTCAAATTTCTCTTCACAAGCCAAGAGTTGATTATGTGCGAAAGATCATCGGAAATTCGAATATTTTAGAGGTCACTTTCTGTTTCTGACCTAATTTCAGATAATTGTGGTCTGCCTTCCAAGAGTCGTAATGTCCTAAATTTTCAAGATCTCGAGACGACTATTTTTGTACATTGTCATGAGCGGTGGCATCTACAAATTCTTTCCAAGAATCGAAATAAAATTGTGTTTAATAGACCTTGAAAGTTATTGAATCATCATAGGTCATTCGTTTGATTCTGAATTCTCCTTACTTCTAGGTTATGTTCATGCCCTAATCATTTTCTCAAAAAAATTTGATTCTATGTCGGGATAATTCATAAAAAAATAGCAAGTTTGAGTTTGAAAATTCATTAATCGTTTTGATGCTGACGTTGCAAATCAATGGTGTTGAAACAATGATGATTATTGGATCGATGTCGGACATGTTTAAGCTCATAAGACATTCACTTTATTCAAAGATTTGATTTGAGATTAAAGGAGGGAAGATAATATGAGTTAATTGCTTAGAAGTCAAGATACAAAGCTCAAGTCCATTATGAATTCGAAAGCTCATTCAAGAATCAAGGCGCTCAAATGTTCATGTACATTCATCATTCAAAGTTCATCATTTCACGATGCAAACTCAAGACATCAAGGGTTTAAGATCCATTTTGATTCGAAGATATCTTCATAAGATCACATAAGATTTCATATTCATTCAAGATTGCAACCAAACATTTAAAATGGTGAATTTCACAAATTATTCAAGTTTTATCAATTGCCATTTAAACTCATTCAGGTTACAATTCATCTTGTCATGGTGTTCTTGTTACAAGAAAAAAATATGGAAAAGTACATAAGGAAATTTTGATCCTAATCTTAATCTTCATGTCATACACCAAGTCTTCATCTACCATCTTCACACCTTGTGCCAAAACTTGTTGCACTAAACAAAGAAGCGAACCCAAAAATTCAAAACAAAAGAAAGGAGAAATGTGTTAGCATAAATTTACCAAGCTGCTGCCCAATAAAATAAAAGCCAAAAAAACCTGTCTATAAACCTCCAAAACCGTTGCTGCCTAAACCAGTCCACAATGTTGTCCAGAAATTGCCCAAAATAGCTAAGTGCAAACCTGCACAAATAGTCCAAAAATCAGCCCTGCATTAGCTGCTAAAAAACCTGTATAAAACAGTCCAAAAATACTGCCAAAACCTGCTGAAAAAGTGCTCAAATCTGCTGTAAGAATAGCTTGCAAAAACAGTCCAAACTTGTCCACAAATAGCCAAGTATTACACAAAAAGGCAACAAAAAAACTGCAGCCGCAAAGCAATGAAACAGTGCCTAAAATTGTTCAAAATTCATCCCATTTTCCCCTCCCAATTCAACCCCTCATGCTGTTATAAAAACCGGAAAAAACAATAGAAAGAAAAAAGGAAGAGACTGTGAGACCAAAACACTTTACAGAAAAAAACACAAAAACAGTTCTCAAAAACCTTTTCTCATACTCCCTGCATAAACTCAAAAATTATGTCCAAACCGAAGCATTCAACTTGCACTTTCCAGATCATAAAAGCTTCAATAATTTTTTAGAATTATTCAGAAGAAGGAGAAGAAATTAAGGAGCAATTTTTACCTCGAGTTTTTTCTCGATTTATCGTCGGAGTCAGAATCATCGGACTTACTCCAATATTGTAAGCCTCTCTTTCTCGTCTCATACATATGATGCTGCTTTGTATTGCCTTGATTTTTTGTTCTTTTATTGTTTATGATGTTTTTTGCTGTTATTGTTAGCTGTTAGAGGATAAAAAAAGTAATTGTTCGAACATGAAGAAAATTCTGTTAAAAAGAAGAAGAAAAAAAGAAGAAAATATACGTTACAATCCTTCGCATTTGTTCGTCTATACCACACCTCAACTCTCAACTTTCTTTTTGAAAAGTCTCATCCAAGTCATCCCCTTTGTTTCTTCCATTCAATTTCCTTTATCAGACGGACACGCACCATCTTCTGTTGATCCTTCACCATCTATACCAGTTTGTATAACTCTTACCCTGCGCTAGCATCCTCCAATCGCATTCACCACCTCCGCCTAGATCACGCCATTCCCGATCTCTACCTCCCTTATATTTCTTTAATTCCTTCATTGTAAATTTGATCGCCACAGAGCATCATCACCATCAGCAAACAATCAACTTCCAAACATACTCTATGTCGGATTCCTCATTGTCATCTGTACTTCATCATCAACTCAATCCACACCTGATTTCCTGCCGTACAACTGCCTCTACAACATCGTCTACCAACACAAACACCCAGTCTTCAACTCAGTTTCACAAAACTGTTCCAACCATAGTCTGCATTCTTCAATAGCTATAACCATCCATCGCCTCCCTATTCTACCTGATACTACTACCACCTACCTCTGTTCTTCCAAACCACTAAACTTCCTCATGCTGCTAATTTGTTTCCAGCTACCTCACTTCACGTTAATCACCACTTCTTCAATCTCCATCACTACGCTATTTCACTTATTCGATCTCCCAAAACCATTCAAATGCTTCATGGATTTGTGCTATTTGTGCTGTTAAAAACGCTTTTGATCATGAAGAAACCTCGTTACGGATTTGCACTGAAAACGTCATCACTGTCTCAATCCAATGGCGAGAAGTAACCAACTCAACCCTAGTGATTCAAGGATGGTGGTTCCTTTAAACATGTGGGTTTTAATCTCGAATTTCAAGTTAGCATACAATCTTCTTCGTCGTCCTGATGGAACTTTCAACCGTGACTTGGCGGAGTTTCTTGATCAGAAAGTTCCGGCGAATGCAAACCCTATGGATGAAGTGTTTTCTTTTGATGTGATTGTTGACATGGAAACTAATTTTCTTACTCGAATTTATCATTATGTTGAGGGAGATGAAAGTGTGAACATTGTTGATCTTGAGAAGCATGTTACCTCTGAGGTTGTGCTGGTTTTGATGTTCTTCCATGGAGGAAGTTTTGCGCATTCTTGGATTCGAATCAAGGACTTGGACTCGAGCAACCAGTTTTGCACGAGTCTTCAAGCTGGTGATTCCCTCAAGTTCATCTTCCGCGAGCAGCATGACAACCATCAAATCAACGACCTCCTTCTCCAGGTTTTTTCTCTCGAGAAACAATGATTCCCTCTGCTCGGAGGCTTTGGCCACCTTCTCCTTCTCACTCTCCAACTCATCATCCTGTACCCGGAACTTTTCCTTGCCTCGCTCGAGAGCGGCCTTCAACTTTTGTGCTTTTTCTTAAAGAGTCGCTTTCTCCGACTCCAGTTTGCTCACCATGGCAGAAGAACTAGCACCCTCACCTGCAAGGATGACAACCATCTCCACGACCTTTATCAGACCGACCATGGCTGAGGCCAAATGTTTCCTCCAACCTTCCTCATCGAGCCGCTTGATGACAGCGGATTCACCATCAGACACAGGCAGAGGAAACCCCTCTAAGAAATCCTTCTCGATAAAGCAAGGAGGAAGGGTAAAGGCCCGAGCACTGGTAAGTGTAAATTGTAGTTATTTTGTATATACTTTTTGTTTCACTTATCGACTTTTTGTTGTTAATATCGTTGAATAAACCTGACTTTTGTGTAAATATTTTTAGTTTGTGTTTATTTGTGTTTTTGTGTACATAGTGTATCGTTTGATATTTTTCCATTCATTTTGTAGGTATTTATTTCATTTTGGAGCATTGAAGAATAAGGTGTCGAAGGCACGACTCCGAATGCGTGTTTTCGGGATAAAAGACTAGTTTTGGGACATTTTGTCCAGAAGAGCCCGCTTAGCGCACAGAGACCGCTAAGTGCGAGTACCGCTCATCGTATTTTGTAGCGCGCTGCTTGCGTTTGACAATTTGGCAGAACCAATGTTTTGAAGCCCGCTTAACGCGGATAGTGCACTTAGTGCGGTTTAGTTGATTTGATGTGTAAAATAAGTAAGTCGTGCTTAGCGCGCTAGGCCCGCTTAGCGCGGTATGCTGAGATGTGTTTTATAACTTTCATTTCAACTCAGTTTTAGGGATGGTATTAGGGAAGTTTTTGCTCCCAACTCCATCAACCTGTAAATTTTGTTAGGATTAGCTTAGATAACAACTATGGAGCTTGCATACGGATGATCCGGGATGGATTTCTCTTTGATCGGCACTGACAAAACGGTAGATCTGTGGTTCATTTCTCTTCCTCTTTGTGTATTCTCTATTGGTTGGGTTTGTATGTATATTTTCTTTGAACTTATGTATATTTGTCGCCCTTGGCGTTATATAAAACTTTCTTTACGAATCTTTGTGGATTGTTGTCCTAGATTTTTGCTCTGTACTAGGGATTGGAGTTGTTATAGACATATACTGCTTAGATTCTTATCTAGGATGATTATCTGTTAGTTTCTGAACTCTAGAGATAGATTTCGAACTGGCATCTACTTGGATATCAAAGCTTAATGCCTATGTGTTGTTTGTGGCGCTCTGAGAGACTGTCGATGCAAGCGAGCACGGTTGACTTCTGTTTTGTTAAGGTGGTTGAGAGATCGCTACCGAGGTGATGCAGTCGGCCTCTCAATCTGGGTTAGGAATGACTTAGGTTGTGAGTGATACGTAGTGACATTGATGAATATTGTAGGTTGAGTATAACAGGTCGATAAGTTTACGTCTGTAAGAAGTAGTATATATACATGCTTGATAAGTTATCCTTTTTCCTTTTTATATATTTATTTTCTATTAATACATTTTCTTTCAACCCATTTATCCCTAAACTCATTAACAAGAAATTTTTCGAACGCTGAATCAATAACCAATCTTTGTGAACACGATATGATATATCCGTCATCAGTCAAATCCACGGGCTCGCGGTCAGGGCAACTCGTCTTTTTTCTCGACATGGTCGCACACTGAGCGATATCACGAGGCCCCGACGAACCATTAGACCCGTCCCTGACCTGTTCGAGAATAAGGCCAAGGCGCATTGGCTGGTTAGGCTTCACTAACCTCTTGTTGTTCTTCTTGTCCTGGGTCAACTTCAGTAAACATTCACGATGCTCGGCCATATTATATGCAAAAATAAAAACAACATGCTCGAGTCAATACCGCTAGAGGGACATACTCGAAACAAGTTAAAAACAGAATGCAATAGAGTCACGTGGACAAAGACCCAGAAGAACCACGGCATCCCCGTAGGTACGACATTCAATAAGCGCCTTGGTGTTGATCGGGAGGGCCTCGAACATAGGTTCTCCATCTTCACCAAGAGTGTCATCTCCCTCCCTCGTCACCCACCTGGAGGAGAAGAAACCATCGACGAACCGAAGAACCCTTCATCCTCGGCGCCCATGCTGCCAGCAGGAGTATGATAGTGGTCAGGCCCGTGGTCGTAGTGAGCTCGACACCAATGGATAGGGAACTTAGAGATCCTCCTCTCATAACAAACTTCCCCATCCTCATCAACGAGAGAAACTGGGTCGAACACCGCGTCCACGGCCTCTTGGGACGAAGGCTGCACCACATACCACTTGTCTTTAAAATCACGGACATAGTCCATATACATCCAGAATAACCTCTTGGATTGTTTGAAAGAAACCCAACTATGTTTTCCTCCCCTATACTGTCGTTGAAGATGGAAAACCTTGAAGAATAAAGGAATCGTCGCCCCAATCCTCAAGTATCGACAAGTAATCTTGAAAGCCCGTATAAAAGCAATCGCGTTGGAGTGCAGTTGGGAGGGCGCCAAGGACAAATGATTGAAGATGCCCATTTGAAAGTCACTTAAGGGAAGACGAAGCCTCAGATCCCTGAAAACAATCTCGTACGTGAGGAAGCAATCTTTCGGGAAAGACGAGCATATTCTAGTCGTAGGTGACGGGTGAAAGATCATGAAATTTCGCCTGAAACCCTCTTGGTCGCCGCCATATTCGACGACAGTGTACGCCTCTCTCCTTGCATGGCTAAAAATCGAGGCTATTCCTCGAGGCTCTGGCCCGATCCAGGACAATGACGGATCAGTGACAGTGTCGATCAAGTGGACACCCTCATCGTCTCCACTCATCTCTTCTACCTCGACCTGCTCGAATGTCTCGATTAGTTCGTCCATTTCACCCGTAAAGCAGAGGAAACTGGTGAATTCGACAACTAAATCAAATTCATTCTTCCACCGCAATAGAAGTGAAAGGGGGTTACTACGAGCAAACTAGGTCGACGAACCCCTGTTCAGTAAAAGCAAACAAACTCGTGAACGCCACGAGGAGAATATAGATCTCTCGAACAACCTCATGAACACCACGATGAGAATGTGAATCTCTTGAGAAACATCACGAAGGTAACGAGGAGAAGATGAATATCCCGAGAAATCCCATGAGCATTGCAAGGAGGGGATGAATTCCCCGAGCAATTTCATGAGTTTTGCAGGGAACGGATGAATTTCACGAGCCATTTCGTGAGTATCACGAAGAGAGGTATGAATATCCTGAGTAAAAGTCCCCCTGGTAGTGAAATTCATCAGGAAACCCATGAAATTGTCGAAAAACCAACTATAAACGAGGATAATCATTGGGAAACATTTACTTAATTAAGGGTGGTAGAGATTATGCGGTGGAAGTTACGTTGGGGCTTACGATTGGAGAAGGAAATTGAGGGCGGTAGAAAACGGAAGACACTAGGGAGAAAAGAGAGAAGCGAGAGTTTGGAAATGGTACAAATGAGCCCTTAAACGTTATTTATAAGGATAGCGCGAAAGACGAAGTGTCACGTCGAACAGCGTATCAGTCTATCCTCCGCCCATGCGCTCAGGGTCATAATGACCTTACTCCCTAGGCCATCATTCTATCCCAAAAGCTATACCAAGTGGCTTACGAAGTAAACATCCTGCAAACTTTCATCTTCCCGCGAATCGAGGTGCAGGAAAACTTTATCCATGAGCAAACTTCAATCTCCGTTCGATTGGTCGCAACAAAAAGTTATACCAAGTTGCATACGAAGTAAATATCCTATGAACAGCCTGTCTCCCCGCGAGTTGAGGAGCAGATAGATTTTCTCCGTACACTCCAATCTCTGCTCGAGTGGTCGCGTAAAAAAACGACCCAGTCCCTCGACGTGATACGGGATCCCGACGAAACTATGTTCACCATACGGGAAAATTGGTCTTAAGTCATAACTTCTCTCTTCATGAGCAACGACTTAGGGGACTCATGTTCTGGACTGAGCCTACGCTTGACCCAAACATCATACGAGACCCAATCCAACTATACTGCAAGAGAAAACCAGCAAGAGAGAGTCTGTCTTTGAGAATGTCGGACAGTGATTCCACTTCTCTCATCGACTAGGATATGTCCTCCAGGGACAACCTCATGACTGGTGAGGAGGACCAACGACACTCATGAGGTCCTCGGGAGCACCCTCCTAATAGGGCAGGCACCCAACGCCCTCAAATATCACAGAGTCCTCTTGACTTCGAAAGGACCGCATCCACGTCCTCCTAATAATTTGGAGGAGTCAATCCAGGTTGGGGACTACGTGCTAGCCTCTACTACACACGTAGGACCTGACAGTCTCCATTTTAGGTCTGCTTGGTTAGCCCAACAATGGAGGCCTTGGCCCAGCACTGGGAGATATAAATACCCTCTCACTTGAGAGGATCAGGTATTCATTCATTCACCCATACTCTCACACTTACTCTGAACTTTACTTTAACATCAGAGTGTCTTGCAGGTACCCCCCCCCCCCCCCCCCCCCCCCCATCCCCCTTACTTCACATTCAACAACTGCTCGACTTGAAGCTCATGGACCTTGACAATCCCTTCTGACCAGATACGATCAATTACCTTATTTAAAGCACGGTAGTCGACACACATCTATCATGTTCCATCTTTCTTCTTTACAAGTATCACCGGGCTAGAAAGCGCACTATGACGAATCACTCTGGATTGCAACCGCTCCTTAACTTACATTTTAATATCATTTTTATGAAGATGTGGATATCGATAAGGGCAGACATTGACTTGCCTTTCTACTTCCTTGAGATGAATAGCGTGCTCATGCTTCCTTTTTGAAGGTAACCTATGCGGCACTAGGAAAACTATTGAATACTTTTCTAGCAGCAATTGAATCGGTTGGTTAGCAATTTCAACTGAATTAATTTTTTCTTGAGTTC